CTAATATATGTCCCGTTTTTTAATGTGTCCTACTCGCGTAAACTACAAACAATACGTAATTGACCGAACATAATAATTATATGCTATGTAAATCTAAGTCGTACTAGGTAATTAAAGAGAAATTCGTACTGTAATAAGATTGTTATAATTTATGTATAGAATTTAGGACTAAAATAACTATATTTACAGTTTTAAAGTAACTAATATAAGCATTATAAAAATTACAAAAATAAATTAAAATTTGTAATTTTTATAATGCTAATGCTAATGCCAAATTAAGGAGTTAAGAAAACTTTTAGACTTCAAAATGTACACGAAACTACTCAAAGATATACCCTTAACAATTAATTACTGCACGTTAAATGTTTGTCCGGTCGTAAAGTGAACGAGTACCAATCATATTGAGGTTTTAATGGCTACATAAAATATAACCTCAAATATTGACTAAACCGTTAGCTTCAAATGAGGTCCTTGGGTTATAGATGTTCAGCGCTTACGAGCTGTGATTAACAACTTTTAACTATCTGTGCTATTAGAATATATGATAATGAGAAACAATCAAAAACTGTTGATATTACTAACATAATAACTTAGTGAATCTGTGAATGTCTGAATTACAAGGTCTCCTTGTTATATACTTATCTTATATATTTGATTATGATATAAATTGAACCAGTAGTTCCTAAGATTAGCGCATTCAAACAAAAAAATTTTATTACGCTAAACGAATAAGGTCTGGATTTAATACCCGGGCGTTACAGAATGTTTTTCAAAACGTTTTTAATATCGTTAGAATTAATGTATTAATCACTGTAGAAAATACTCCCTTGCTAGTTTTAAAATCCCACCCACCAAAAGTACTACCACTGTATTTGTGGTGGTAATTGGGGCTTATAACATGGTCCCTGCGGGGCCGGATGTTAGGCAGAGTTATTGACACTTTGAAATTGCAGGCTGGTTCTAGAAATTTTCTCAAAAGTATTCTCACAATCTGGTTTAGAACCTGAGACCTCGGGATGTGTCATTACAAAGTCCCAATTTATGTCAGTTGTGTCACCTAAAAATTTTTTAAAACCACTTGTACTTTTAATGGTTACGACTTTCGATATGTGCCATCTATTTCACATGACTAAAATTTTTGCATTCATATCTCTATGAAATTTTATTAAATTTGAAATTTTTATCACAAGAACAGACGTGTCAGGGTTATATAAATTGAGAATATGTCGCATAACTTAAAAATGTCGATTAATAGTAGAAGTTTAATTATTAAATATTGTCTGTAGTCTATGCAACAAGTACACATTTAAATAAAATACTTTAACGGTTTAAAACGCGATATAAATTAGTTAAACTTATTTAAATAAAACACTTTAACGTTTTAAAACGCGATATATTAGTTAAAATTATTTGAAAAGGATTTTTAACTTCGGTCCGACGTTTCGTCTCCCCGTGACCACGGCTGCTGCAAAGCATCCGAAACGTCGGGCCGAAGATAAAAATCGTTTTCAAATAAGTTTAACTAATATATCGCGATTTAAACCGTTAAAGTGTTTTATTTAAATGTGTACTACTTGCGTTAACTATAGACAGTATTTAGTTAAACTTATTTGGAATTATTTTAACTACGGCCCGGCGTTTCGGATGCTTTGCAGCAACCGTGGTCACAGGGACATATAGATGGAGGATGTCTGTGACGTCAAAGTAAAAACTGTTGAATTGCTTATAGCCTCACAAGATAACGATTAGGACTCGTGCACAAAGTGTTCCGTAAATTTAATTTGAGATATACGGTATTATTAAGATACGGCCTAGACAGACTAAACAGGAAAGCCTCATTAATAGGATTCGGAATCATAATAAGTAGGTAATATAAGTAGAGACATTTTTGTATATTTCTGTTTATTTTTTTAAGTTTCATACTCAAGATGTATTTTTTTTGTGAAACGTGTTCGCCCTTTGGCGTGTTTGGTCATTAAAAATTAGTTCGACAGTCGTAAGTAAGAAATGGTAACGTTTCTTCATCGCATGTGGATGGTCTTTTTCCGTTCCTCGACTAAGCAAAGCCTCAGTTTTCAGTCACTCAGGACGGTGAAACGTCGAGAACCATTTCTTCCTTAAGAGACGAGAGCCACTCAGCCACGTTGGGACTAATGTCCGAAGACTGATATTCTGTGGCCCAAAGGGTTCATGCAAGTTTTTAACTATGGCCTAACTGTATAAACGTTGTGATTAAAACAATCGAATAAGAAAATTCTCCAAGTTAATATCAGTAAGGATTATCGAGTTAGGAAATTCTTTTCCCAAATCAACGGACTGTCAAACTAGAAAAGGTACGATAATTGTTTTTTCAACTTACACAAACGTGATTAGTTTTGGGAATAAGGATACAAGATACATATACCATAGTATTTGAGTATGTTTCTTGTAAAACATATAACTTTAAATTAAAAACACAAAATAGGAAAACTTTAATATTTTTCACATGTACATGTTTTGCACATGGAGGCGCTATATAATTTAAAATCGAAAATAAATTGAAAAAAATTTCGACGCGGGCAGGACTTGAACCGGAATCGTCAGCGTTCCGTGCTCTGTTGGTGGAGCAACAGCACGGAACGCCGACGATGCCGGTTCAAGTCCTGCCCGAGTCGAGTATGTTTCTTGTAAAACATACAACTTTAACTACTTAAATTTAACTACGGCTCACGTGATCACGGTTAAACAAGTGTAACTAATATAAGTAATTCGCGTTTTAAATCGTTTAAGTGCAAAATATATTGGTCAATTTACTTACTACTTATTATAACTATGTCCCGGCGTTTTGGATACTTTGTACCCCATGACCACCACATTCTAAACATCGGGCCGCGCATAAAATAAATAAAAAATAGGTTTACTAAAATAATTCACGTTTCAAACCGTTAAAGCTGGTTTTGCTTTCCAGGCACAGAAGAAGATTCCAGAAGAGGTGGAAAAATTGTAAGTATAGTAATTCTCTTATACATGCATTATAGAAGTCATTAACTATATTGTCTTTCAAAAATACATACAACATCTTTATTCGTAGACATCGGAATACCGAAATTAAGTAATTATCTTAAAACGTGCTCCATACAAACAGAGGTCTATTGTTAAAATCGAGAATATATTTCATATAATAATCCTTATAAATCCGGAGATATGTCATAACCTAATTAATATATCTCTTTGTCAATCGAATCTTGTTTAGGAAAAGCGAAATTCTTTCTTGAGAAACTTAGGGTTTTCGTAAAAATATATGTATTATTTAAACCGAATCTTATTTCAGTTTTTAACATAAATTTTATTTTATTTTAACGTAGGTTTAATGTTTTTTCCCTAATCCTAAAGTATAATAAACCTTTTATCGTCCCAAAAATAGGTTTCATAGTAACAAACTATAATAATATAAACAAAAGTAACTAAAGCTTTATACGAGTAACCAAGTTAATTTATCAAGAAACAAAACATAAAAGCCATTTAATTGTAATCATGTTTCATAATAATACAAAATTGCCTACTATATACTCGAAAAGCAGATCTGTAAATGTTTTAGTATCGTCTGTAGTTTACGCGAGTAGTACACATTTGAATAAAACTATTTTAACTGTTCAAAACGTGAAATATATTACTGGACTTAAATGTATCGAATTTCGAATGACGGCGAGTTTATTGCCAGTTCTTCTCGTTCGTTCTACGCCCTTGATTTGGGAACTGGTAGTAAATGTAAAGTTAGATTCTATAATTATTTTGTGACGTTCATAAGTGTACATAGTTACCTACATGAATAAATGATTTTGACTTTGACTTTGAGTGCTTAAAATAACCCTCCTGTCCGTGGGTAGGGCAACTAACTTTTAAATTTTTTTTTTTTTGTAAATGTTTTGTGAAGGTGATTAATTTACCTAAATAAATTGCTGTATTTATAACAAATGAACCCGGGTTCACGCTTATTGAGATGCAAGGCGCGTCTACTAAGCCACAAGTTATGTTGACAGTATATTGTCGGATCATATTTTGTCCTTACTAAAGGGTTTTTAAAAAAATACATTTTGTAGAGTTTAAAATATTTTTGTTAACGCAATACGTTTATTGGTGAAAATAAGCGGCAAAGAAAACTGTATCCCATTTACAGTAAATTGCACACTTATAGAGTCTATTTTCAGCTGCATAATAAGCCTGTACTGTATGGGAGGATTGTAATTAGTATTTATATTTGAAAGAATTCAAGAGATTTGTATATAAGGGTTGCCTGGAAGAGATCGCTCCATAGCGATAAGGCCGCCCATTGCACTATATAACTGGTGAGAATAATGTATCTTAAAAATTGTATTATTAAGAATATTTTTAAGGAATCATGTATATATACTTTGTATTTGTTGCAATGAAGAATTAAATAAATAAATAAAATAAATATATATAGTGTTACGAGTAAATGCAACTTGATAAGATTAAGTACAGTAAGGGGAATAGATATGGATAATAAGGTCGATTTTGGACTGCTAAAGATTATAACACTGTTGAAATAATTTGTGTAAGGCTTTCTCCTGATGATGCCGTCCGCTCGTGATGGCGAAACGTCGAGAACCTCTTTTCGCTTACGTCTACGTATGCAATATATTTTGTGTTTGAATTTCTATATTTTCAAAGTAAAAGTAATTACGTGTTAAAGACATATTTAATTTCACTAAATTGTAGTAATAATAACGTCAATTTCAATGTTTGAGACTTCTGTCGTACTCCGCCAGTTACCATTTTTTCTGGAAACTCAACTTCGATCTAAAAAGCTTTTTAAATATGTTATTGGTAATCGGCCAAATACCTTTTTTTATAGAGGAATTATTGAACTACTAATGAGACGGAAAGTGGATAGACAAATTTCGCTTTCTCCCTTATAAAACATCAATTTCAAATGAGTCTTATATTAATTGAGAAAAATAATTATTTTATATAAACTTAATATCTGCGTTACTTTTTACCTGAAGCACCTTCAGATAGACAGATGATGAAGAGAAGAGCAAGAAACGCTGTCGCCGCCGCGCTAGGAAGATACGCTCTGTTTGACTTCTGCATACTTGCTTCTGCTACTTCTAGAACAAAGAATTAAACCGTACATTAATATATTATGGAACTGTTTATTTCCTACTAGCGACCCGCTGTGGCTTCACTCGGGTGACACACAGAAAAACTGAACGTTTTATATAAAAACCTTTCTAATGAATCACTCTATAATATTTAAAAAAAACCGCATCAGAATCCGTTGCGTAGTTTTAAAGATTTACGTGCACATAGGGACAGAAAAAGCGACTTTGTCTTATTCTATGTAGTGATTAATAATAGTTCATTAAAGTGAATACAGAGAAGTTTGCTAATTTAGGTCCAAATCCTGAGTTTAAACGAAAGCCGAGGAAACAGAAAACCAAATCTATCTTTGAAAGTTTATTTCAACTGACCTGGCAAACGTTTTCTTGCAATATGAAGTATTTTGACGAAATTTCATTGCCATAACAAACGGTTCTTGTGTGTGTCTCGAGCATTTTTTAGATTATTAAAAAAGATCTTTATGAATAATAAAAAAAAACATATCTTCTGGGTATCTTGAACCGTCTTCGCAGCGCGCGCGACGGAAACGCTCGGTGAGACATAATTTAGTGATAATGAGTCACAAATATTATATATTTCTATTTCTTCGCTCCTATTGGCCATAATGTAATATTTTATATCATTATTCCATCCTCGATGTATGCACCAATCAACACAAACATATTTTTTCAAATAAGTAGTTCCTAAGTTTCGCGCGTTCAAACAAACACTCTCTTCAGCTTTATATACTGTCTACAGTAGAGCGAGAGATATCAGTTTAGAAAAATTTCAATTAATGGAAGGAACTACGACTCTTTTTACAGACAATTTCATTTTAGGCAAAATAAAAATTTTATTTATTGCTATTCTACTGTTAAATTACTCGATTTTTTTGTAACTAATTGCTATAATGTTATTTTTAAGTTATGCTTGATCTTTTCGCCAACAAAATTGTCCTTCGACAAAGGCCTCCTCTGAAAGTTGCCATTGATATTTCTATTACCTAAATACCCGGATTCAATATTCAAGATGCTAAAGTTTAATTAAAAATAGTTCTAGTAGTATGATGAATGCATGATTTCTAGCTATATTGCTACCATTAAACCAAACAGGCCGTCGGCGTCTTTTATTCTTGCGTGAAGTACTCAAATCAGCTAACGTCAAAATCTAAAGGCAAAGTCAACCGGTCGTTTAATAGAGGCGTTTAATTATGCTCTATCATTAGCTGGCCCCGAATTGTTAAAACGAGGTTCAAATTCAGTGAAATTATTAAGTACACAAACTTAGCAAATACAGAATAAACAGTCGATTATGGACGCTGGGTTTGTTATGATTAAAAATAATAACACCAATATTGATCTTGAAATATCATTTGAATATCCACCGTTTCAATACTGTCTATAGTTTACGCGAGTAGTACATATTTAAATGAAAATCTTTAACGGTTTAAAACGCGATATATTAGTTAAACTTATTTGAAAAATGATTTTTAACTTCGGCCCGACGGTTATCGCTCCCGTAATGGAAGTGCACTGACCAAAACTAACTTTAACCCTTTAAAAGCGTTTTATTTAAGTTAGTTAAATAAAACGCGTTTAAAAGCGTTTTATTTAAGTTAGTTAAATAAAACGCTTTTAACGGTTTAAAACGCAGAATACCTTACTGAGATTATTTTTTAAATCATTTTAAGAACGTTTCCAGACGCTTTGCAGCAGGCGGTGATCGCGTAAAAGTGTTTTTGAAGCTGTATTCCTCGCGTAAACTACAGACTATTGTCTGACAGAGGAGGACAGAAAACCTCATGTTTGTTTGTCCTACTCTATTCTTCCTTTATGGTAGAAGAAATACCGCAACCACATAACATATAAACAAGATGCGCTATCGACTTATTTTGGTTTAGGATGTTTGGAAAACCTCAGACTGAAGCCGAAACGCGATTAATCTTCGAATTGAATTTCCTAACACTCATTTAGTATCCAGATTTCCAAACGAATACCAACATAATACAGCAAAATTTTATATGAAAAATATTGTATCTGTTGGGGATCAAACTCACGACCTTTGATTATTAGACATACATTATTTCCATTACATCAAAGATCCCATCAACACATTAGTCAAAATTAAACTAATTTAGATTGGGGGCTGTTACCCAACAGTGGGACAATAATAGGTTGAAACGAAAGACTTGATTTCAATAGATGCTACGGTTTGCTACGGCGTACTTCCGTCGGTTCCGGACATCTTGTTGTCTCCAGATGCATGAATCTTTTTTTTAATCGCAGTCCATTGACAGAAAGGTACTTGGGAACTACAATACGAAATCGAAGAAAGCTCAAGCTATGGTTAATTTGTTGGATACGTTGATCCAATAATAACAATGAAGAGCTTGTAGTAATCGATGGATCGCAAGTTCGATTCCCACCACCTGTTGGTGGAACAATCTCCTGTAAAATTTGGCTATTAAGAAGATGGTAGAAATATTGAAATCTTGTTCAACTCACAACTTGACCAATAAAAAGTCGTTATTAATTGTGTTTTTGTCGTGTGAACTTAGATGTTCATGAAAATATAGGTGGATAGTACATTTTGTTTAGTGATTTAAGTATTTTACATTTCACCAAGGGAACACCATGTATGGACCCACATACATGGTGTTAATAACGATAAGCTGTTATTTTTTAAAGAATAAATTTTTTTTTCTAGTCTAACTCGGTTTGTCTCTTGACTTGTAACTTCTTTTATAAAATAAGCATAAATTTAACTCGGTGACTTATGTCAGAATTGCACAAAGAAACAGTATTTATCTCAACAATGTATTTGCGTGCTCTACAATTGTTTGAATAGAAAAATCTCATTTTATGCGGAGGAGTTCTGCATCTACAGGTGTAGTGATAGATGTAAGGGCATTTTATTTGTATTACAATTTAAATTATAGCTAGTTATAAACAAAAAGAACTTACATATAGTTTAAAACAAGTATATATATTTAAATTAGGACTTCTTTTAAGAACTCGTCAATTCGAAAAAAAAATTGACTGTTCTGACTGAGTCAAATTTCTGTGTTTCTAAGTATGGTCTGTGGTTTGCGCCAGTACTAAACATTTAAATAAAACTTTGACGTTATTACAAAGCGTTCAAAGTAATCACAACTACTGCAAAGCGTCCGAAACGTCGGGCCATCGTTAAAATAAGTTAATGTATTTTGCGTTTTACAATGTTGAAAGTGTTTGAAAACTTTTATTGTTCACATTATTGTGCATAAGGCATATAGAAATTTAAATCGATTTTAGAATGCAAAAAAATTACTACAAGGGCGGGACTCGAACCGACATCCACAGCGTTCAGTACTGTTGCTTTAACCGTTAAAAGTGTTTTAAATACTGTATCTTTTATTTATCAACATTATTTACAGGTAAATTAGTTACTTAATATCAATAATTTCTGTGCTTTTGGCTGTAACTATTTTGCTACTTCGGGATTCAAATCCAGTATCTTTCTAATCGCAATTATTTATTCTATATCAAAACTGAACTTCTACATTTGTAACATGTTTAAAACACAGACACAAAATCGTTTACACCCACAGAAAGAGGAGACAGGGTTTTACAAAATCATATGTTTTAAACCTTTACGTTAATATACGTTTAATTATGAGTCTTTACACTTTTTACATTAAATTAGCATTTTAAATTGAAAGCCATGTTGTCTTTAGGCTATTCTGAAAGAGACATGAAAATAATATTTAGAAATTAAATTATAAAATTGTATCTGTATTATATAAGGGACGTTTATAGAATATGTAATCAATTAGAAAAAGATGGTATTTCGAAAAAACCTTGGTTAGATCAAAGACCGCAAATAAAACCTCTTTTTTAATTACACACTTGTAAGAATAGTCAACAAGATTTCCACCAAATTAAATTTGACATATATTCCATAGATTTGAAGCTTGTACCTTTTTGAACAAGCATGATCAGTTTAAAATTGAGCTACGGGGTTTTTATTCCTCTAAAAGTATATTTATGTGAAGTAGTAACTTTATGTTATATCGTCTTTAATACCTTTAAAAAAAGGAAAGAGATGACAAAAATATACGATTTAAATTAAAAATAAACCTAACAAATAGGTTGCCTAATACAATTCGCAATTTTAAGCCGTTAAAAGTGTTTTATTTAATTTTTAATACATTTGTTTGTATGAAGAACACAGCGCAATTTCAAAACATCTATGACATTTGACGATCCCAAGCGATCCGTGCACCGAATTCGTAATTTGGGAAAACATTGATTGATGAACAATTTGTAAGGGGAAGTGATAATTGAGAAATATTGATGTAATTTATTTTAATTGGTTAATCTTATAATTTTGAGAAATTCTCTTCGTGATTTGTTGTTAAATTATTAGTAGTAGGAATATAAATTTTCACTGCATATAACCATTTATATACATTCAAAAAAGTATTTTAGGCGCATTGAAAAACCTACTTTTTATTCTAACTAGCTGGGTGAAACCGCAAGTAAAATAGTCGTAGATTTGACATCTGTATTTGAACTTCAACTATGCTTTGATTTAAATAAACACTTTAAAACTTATTTGATAATTATTTTTAACTTCGGCTCGACGTTTCGACGATGATTTGCACGTCGGGCCGAAGTTAATATAATTTTCAAATAAGTTTAACTAATATATCTCACGTTTTAAACCGTTAAAGTCTTTTATTTAATATATACTTTGGCTATTCTAAACTTGCTTTACTTTTTAATTTTTTTATTAATATTAAAAAATGGCGATATCTTAAGCATTAGAAAACGCTTTCTGAAAGTCTGCTTTGTATTAAGTTTTGCGAGAAAAAAGTTTATTTTGTGAGTACTAGTAAATTCTGGTATAATAAAAGTATTGGCCAAAATAAAGTAACAAATAGATCAGGATTAGACTGCTTTTGACATCTGTTTAAGTAAAAGATTTCTTCGCAAAGAATAACGCAAAGT